AAATATAACCATCCAGAGGAATATCCAAATTAGCAAGTAGAAGGCTTATGTATCCACCAAAGGGCAAACTCCCACTATACTCGTCACTACTTACTTTGATCATGCAACCGAAAAGCAAGTGGGAATAGTCAAGCCTGCGTCCAGCCAAGGCATTGCAGATCACCCAAAGATCAAGCTGATTGACGACATCAAGCGAGTCGCTGCGGGGAAGAAAGACATGCATGATGAAATAGTGAAGAACCCTATGCAGACGATTGAGAGATGTAGTGGTGATTATTTCATTGGGAGTACAGTTCTTCCAAGAAGCTCGTCGTATTTCTGAGTGGGATCAAATTTGTACGCAGCCATTTCTTGCTCATGAGCAAGGGGAAGGCCACCAGCGGGAAAGTTAAGAGCCCGACCTAGGCCTTCAAGTGTCAGACTAATCTCATGACCAGCAACAAGACTTGAGAACTCTCGAGATTCAATACTCATGCACTGCCTGTTTGCATAGAAATACCTAACAGCGAGAGGACATGGAGGCAGAGGGAGGAAGTGAAGAGAAACCCCCATCCAAGGTTGTTGATGTAGTGAAACACCTGAATATCGAACTGCCGAAACTCTGCAGGGTCGACAATGATTTTAGTGTGAAGAGAACGAGGAGCAAACAATCTAGAGAACCGATCGCGATTCCATTTTAATGGTTCATTAACAATCTTGTTTATAAAGGTTTTGCTAACACCGTGAAGTAATGGAAGGGGGATGTTGCCAACCATGTTTGGGGCAGAGAACGGAAACAAAGCAAAACAAGGAAGCAGAGAATGAAAGGTTAAAGAGATAGTAAGACAGAATGCAAAGAGATGGAAAGCTGGAAGGAATCAAGGAAATATAAAGAGTCTCGATTCTGCTAAAACTTAAAAAATGAAAAGATAAAAGTCCCGAAAGAGATAAATACCAAAGTTATTACTTACCTCGCAAAGTACATATTACTTACCTCCTACATATCAACAAATCAATATTTCCAGTAGATATACCGCACACCTAGACTAAAAAATCTCCACCATTGATTCGTCATTTCAAATAATTAGCTATAACTAAGGATGTCAATGGGGCGGGTTTGCCTAAACCATCCCCATCCCCATCTTCGAATACCCAAACCCATACCCGCTCATATCCATGAGGGGAATGTTTTGCAAACCATCCCCTAGACCTGGCAAATTACAACCCGACCCGTTGACCCGACCCGAAACCGCCCGAAAACTAGAAATTATTGTAACCCGAAATCCGAATGACCCGAACCCGACAACCCGTAATTTTTTAGGTTGGGTTGGGTGGGTTAGCGGGTCGACCCGTTAGACCCGTTCCAGTTAATATATTACTCCCAAAATATGATAAAAACACTCAAAAAATGGTGAGATGTTTAAAAAAATCACAGGATTTGAATGACATGTTTGGAGTTTAAGGATAATCAAATATCATGTGTTTCTTGTAGTAGAATTACTCTTGTGATTGTTTTTTGACGATTTGCGCAATTTATATTTCATTTCATTAGCATGGGAGGATTTGAGAATAATTGACATGTGTTAGGTAAACTATTGTCATGCATATGTGAAAATTTGTGTTCTTTAAGAAAATATGAAGCATGTTTGATATTGTTTCTGAGAACGCTCATAACCCGAAATGACTTGTAACCCGACCCAAAACCGAATGGGTTGGGTCAATATTTAACCCGAAATAAGCCAACCAAACATGACCCGACCCGTAACCGAAGTTCCCAACCCGAAATTACCCAACCCCACCCGATTGCCAGGTCTACCATCCCCATACCCGTGGGTTTCGGGTACCCATGGGTAGTACCCGTCCCCGTACATCCAATATTATTATACCTAAAACTTACAAGAAAAGTTTTAATTATAAATATAAATGAACCTATTATATCATGAAGTCAACAAAACACGGTCATTTTCTTAATACGATTCAAAGAATATGATCTTAAAACATCCACTAATACATAATATAGAGAAAAATATTTTAAAATTATTATGCTCTAACTTTGATACATCTACTAGGTAATAATTAACTAACATAATCTTGTTGACAAGGGTGAAAAACCATGCCTGTCCCATACCCATCAAACTTTTTGCGGGTTTTACCCATACCCGCCCCATACCCGGTCAGAGCGGGGATTCCCTGCGTTGACTGGGTCGGGGCAGTCGGATACCCGCGGCCATGGGTTTGATTGCCATCCCTAGCTATAACACATACACAATAGATAGACTTGAAAGCTCAGCCACTGATTCGTCCCCTCATAATAATTACTTGCACTACAATAGATAGACTTTTGGCGTAGGGATGGCAATGGGTCAGGTCGGGGACGAATAGTGCATATCTGTTACCCTATTCAAAGTAGTTCGGGTTTTAGCCATACCCATACCCACATGTGAAACGGGCAGAAAATTAAACCATACCCATACCCATTCGGGTTTCGGGTATCCACGGTTATCCATGGATAATCGTTTCTCTTCATAACTTCAACCAATATGTTAACATTCACACGTACTCTCATATTACGTAAAAGGAAAAGTATGACAATAATTCACTAGAATGAAGAAAATTAATTAAAACAACACAACTTCATGAAAATATTATATTTATATGCTAAATATAAAATATGTTAGAGAAAAATAATGATTATTTCTAGACAAAATACATATGTACGTGTATAATTGGGCGGGTTTGGGTTGGTTAGTAAGAAACCCATGCCCATTACCCGCAATATTTGGGTTCAGGTTTCACCCATACCCACTAAATGTCATTCGGGTTCGGATTTTACCCTATCCGATTAGCTCGGGTTCGGGCGGATATCCACGGTTACGGATATTTTTGCCATCCCTATTTTGGGGTGCTTTTTATGATATTTGGTATGCTTTAGAAGACTTGTGATGTGCTTTTACGTAACTTGTGGTGTGGTTAGATTGTTCTGCTTTCTCTCCCTCCCTTCCCAACGAATGATCCATTCGAGACCTAGTGAAAATGAAATACGTTTAGTATTTCCATAAAATTTGATCCCTAATTAATAGTTTTAGAATATCCGAAAACCAAACCACATTTATTAAGCTTTCAACCCTAGCTGGAATGGTCTAGTGCTTGGCCCATTAACCTCGCTTGCATTAAGCCCACGAGAGCCGTAATTGGATCCGAGATCATATTGCAGTATTCTAAACCCAATAGGGTAGGTTATTCCACAAACACAGGTTAAGATAACTATGAACCCACAATTCGATTGAAATGCCCTCTTGGTCATCTTCTTCCTTCGGCCAAGACGATCCAAGAACGGAGTACACCTAACTGGAACATGGACGAAAAACTAAATAAATAAAGGGGCAATACAATAGACTTGTGGCGTGCTTTTATAAACATGTGGTTTGCTCTACGTTACTTGTGGCATACAATAATAAACTTGTGGTGTACGTTATTGGTCATGTGGTGTCCTTTAACGAACTTATGGCGTGCGTACCACAACTTTTGGTCTGCTTTGTGCAATCGTGTAATAGACAGAGGCGGTCGGTGTACCATGCCTCTTGATTTGGGCGAAGTGCTCTGGTCAGAGATCTCAATATCCATACTAATCATATGGTATGTTAGGTTTAAGTTGGGTAATTTATCACAGGCCATGTGTCGAGACAGGGCGATCCATATGTGTATATAGTTTAACAAGAAAACATTACAAATAATTATTTTTTCATTGAAAAATCAAGAAACAAACCATAAATGATAAACTTAGTTAAATTATTCGAGAAAATTATGTTCTCATTTACAACTCCTTTATAGATTAAATTTTAGATAATAAAAGTAAAATCCTAAGTAATTTGAGTAAAATTACATGTAATTTAGGGTGAAAACATATCAAGAATGGGGCAGGTCGAGTCCAGGGGGTACCCATGCTCGGCCAGCCCCAAAACAGGTCGGATATAATAGGTATGGTCTAAATTATCATTCCTAGGTTCAATCGCTTTATTGTATTGCATGTTTGGTGTTTCAATGGGATGAGGGACTTTTGTGTAGAGTCTTAGACTTTAAATATGGTAGAAGCACGATTATAAAAAGGACTTTAGAACCACTTTATTATCCCTTCATAATCGAGTTCTTGCAACCATTAGATTTGGACGAGTAAACAAAGATAACTTCGTTGGAATAGGTCAGAGGTTTGTGATTGCAGAAAGCTGGATTCAGATACCAATAGTGTCACATAAAAGCAAAATATAAAAGACTTAAATTGAGAAATTAGGGAGTTGTAGCATGGATTGTTGGTTGATAACAATAATTTTGCTTAATGAAGAGATACTCATTCATGCTTAGCCGAGGTTGTGTCGTGCTAGACTCTCTCTAAGACAGATATGTGTAAATTCGCCTCAAAATCACTTCTTTGGCTCTTAAATTATTCATGGAAAGAAGTTAATTTTTTATCAGTTATAATACTAAAAATCATAACATCAAATTTTGTAGGTGTGACTTAAAATTACGGGTCACGAAAATCAACATTGCTCCCAAACCGCTGCGAAGCGAGGCCATGTCCCTCTAGTAACAACAATAAAACTAAATGAAAAACTTATGCTGAAGGGTTGAAGCTAAATTTAGTTTAATCAACTTTGAACAAATATGAGTTAGTTTCTATAATATACTAATATCATAATGATTTTTACGCGTAATTAAACAATCTAATCATTTTATTGGCTATGATGATTTCAACACTAATTTATATGTAGTTGTCAAAACATACTGAAAACACACTTTGTTAGTTTCCCTTTTTTTGGTTTATTTTGTGTTAAAACTTATGGATATGCACACACAAATCCACACACATAATCGAGTTATACCGTGTGTGTTTTTTCCAACTGAAAATTGTGGGACGCGTTTAGATTTGCAAAAATTAGCAAAGCGAGAAACTAGTTTTTGGTCAAAGGAGAGAGAGAGATGTGTGTATATAAAACAGGCGCATTTATACAGCTTGTGGCAGTAGTGGGGCAATTTTTACTCTGCAGAACAAAGCCGTAAACAGAACAACAAAGCCGGCTCCCTTTCTTTCTTTCAAAACCTTTCTCGTCCTTCCTCAATCCCTCATTTCGCTAGCACCATTTTTCTGCTTCCTCTAATCTTCACAAAAAAAGAGAAAAAGGAAAAGTTCTTTCCTTTCCAAAGGTTTGATTCCAACCAGCTGAAAAGAAAAGAAAAAAATAACTCTGTTTTTATGTAGCTGCTATTGCCGTTTCCCAGCTGGGATTCCTTCTTTCTGATTTGACTGATCGGGTAGAGGGAGAGAGATAGAGATAGAGTTAGCTCCGAGGTTATTGATTTGTGATGGGTTTAACTAGACGAGGATTTCTGGATTGATTTCTGATTTGAGTTTTTTTTTCGGGAGGGGAAGAGATTTTGTTTCCAGGAATTGTAAGGTTGGAAGTACTTGTCTTTGACTTTGTCGTCGGGGGAAAGGAGAAATGGGTTGCTTCCCATGTTTCGATGCTTCGAAGGAAGAGGAGACACTGAATCAAGACGAGAAGTCCGATGATCGAAAGCCGACTTCCTTGCCCACTGTCGCTTCAAATATTTCCAAGTTGTCTTCTGGTTAGTAAGCTTTGATCTGATCTGGGTATTTGAGATTTCATGGTGTTAGAGCTTAAGGTGAACTAATTCTTGTGATTTTGAGATTGTAATTAGATGATTGCTTTTAGTTCTTCAATCGGATTTGGATTTGTGGGTTGTCTGGATTGTTAGTGGCAAGGGTTTTGATTCAATTTTGCCATTTTTCTGTTTAGCTTATCTTCTACGGCAATCAAATGGAATCTTTTTCTTTTCATTAAGGTTTTGGATTCAATGAAACCAGAAACTATGCTATTAATGGATCTTATAGATAAGAAATTCTAGTTTGCTTAACCACACAATTGGAGCAATACCTAAGATAAAGCTCATTAACCATTTCCATAATAATTTGGATACCAACTAGTGAGAAAGCTGAATCTTGTACGGGAAATTGGTAATCTATAGTTGTCTTCTACTTAGAGTTTGATTGCTTTGTATAGATTGGAAGTTCTTTTGCTGTCTTTAAGCTTGATCTGACCTGGGTACTAGAGATTTCGGGTTTAAGTTGGACAAAAGTTTGGATTTGAATTCTTATTTGCTGATGTTAGTCTCCACCAGATTTAGATTTATGTATGTCTGGATGCTAGTAGTAAAGGGTCTTGATTCATTTCCCCCAAGTTTTAGTTACATTCTGTCTTCTATCGCTACCAAAATCCGATCTTTTATCTTGTATTGCTCTCTTTCCATCCTAAGCTTAGATGAGGATAAGGATTTGAGTTCAATAAAACCAGAAACTATGCTATTAATGGATCTTCTGCTTTTATGGACTGCCACAATTGGAGTAATACCATGATAATTTCCAGGTCATGTAGTTGAAAGTTCCAATCTTTGTTTGAGAAGAGTTCTTTGATCTGGGTGCTGAATGTACAGGATCCGAAAGGCTTAGATCAAGAAGCCTTGGTCTATCCAAGAGGGAATTACAGTTACCGTCTCCCAAGGATGGATCTGCCGTAAATATAGCAGCTCACATTTTCACTTTCCGGGAGCTTGCTGCCGCCACAAAGAATTTCAGGCCAGAGTCTTTCCTAGGGGAAGGAGGCTTCGGTCGTGTGTATAAAGGGCGTCTCGAAACTACTGGTCAGGTAAATCGTACTAACCATTGATACAAACTTGGAATTAGAAGGAGAGGTCTATTGAACTAGGGTTTAGGTTTAATTTTTTTTGCTTCCTAATCTTGTTCTCAATTTTGCAGGTCGTGGCTGTGAAGCAATTAGATAGAAATGGGCTGCAAGGGAATAGAGAATTTTTGGTGGAGGTTCTGATGCTTAGCCTTTTACACCACCCCAACCTCGTGAGCCTGATCGGTTATTGTGCTGATGGTGATCAGCGTCTGCTTGTCTATGAATTCATGCCCTTCGGTTCGCTCGAAGATCATCTTCATGGTAACTTACCACTTCCTGTTTAAATGCAAATCGTTTTGACAATTGGGTATCTATGATTACTGAAAATTGTGAGGAGTAGGGGTATGACATGGACCAAAAGGTACGATGGATCAACTGATTTATTTGCAGTTTAAGCAAAGATCCTTTTTGTGTAGATGAAAGTTTGCTTATAGAGAAGGACACAAACAGAAACTCTGACAAAGTGAATGCAAAGTTTAGATTCTTGGAGTGTCTTCTCTAGATAATTTAGTTCGACCAAAGTCCTAAATTCTGAGACCAACTTGTAGTTTAAGGCGTTATAGTAGAAAAGCCAGATTAAAGGTTTCACTAGAACCCGAAGCAAAGATCTGTATTCTCAGGTTGCCTGAGTTATTTGTAATTCCTCCACATGTACAGATCTTCCACCTGAGAAGGAACCTCTGGATTGGAACACTCGAATGAAGATAGCAGCAGGAGCAGCCAAAGGGTTGGAGTATCTCCACGACAAGGCAGCCCCTCCGGTGATTTACCGAGATTTCAAGTCGTCGAACATTCTTCTACATGAAGGATTCCACCCCAAGCTATCTGATTTTGGGCTAGCAAAGCTGGGCCCCACTGGTGACAAGTCCCACGTTTCCACCCGAGTCATGGGCACATACGGTTACTGTGCTCCTGAGTATGCCATGACTGGTCAGTTGACGGTCAAATCCGATGTGTACAGCTTTGGAGTAGTCTTCCTTGAGCTCATCACTGGACGTAAAGCCATTGACAGCAGCATGCCTCACGGAGAGCAGAACCTCGTCACATGGGTGAGTCAAATCTTTTCCTCTTAACTCATGTCTATTATGTTACAAGGGTGGCTAGCAAAATGAGTAGTCTTTTACCGGTTTCGATTTGACATTGAAGGTTTCTCGGCTTTGGCTCAACAGTTTACAGTAAAACTGGAAACTATAATATAACCAAAATCAACAGTCGACCGAAAATTATTTAACTAACCTTAGTAAGGAAGCTGTACATGTCTTGCCCCTGACCAAATCAAACTGACCCTAGCTAGGATGATTTTTGCACAGAGAGCTTTGATGTGCAGGAATGACCAAAGAGAGGATACATGTAACTGTCTGATCCAATCTTAAGATTAAAGTGGCACAGTGATCATGTTAGGAAAGTTCAAGGGTGAAATCAACCTTATTGCCTTAAATAAGTCTTAAAATATTAAATTTCAGCTCCCAACCCAAAATGAAAAACATCAACCGAATTTAGACCAGTTCTTGAATTCGGAGAGGTCGGGTTACCAATCTGATTTTCGTGTCCCTAGAGGGCATTCCCCTCCATTTGGTATTCACTACTTTTGTAAGGATCCAGGTCTAAGATACTTGATTAAGTATGACAGTGTTGAGATCTCTGAACCCCAATAAACACAGGTTGGGGTGTCCTTCGATCGGTTCTTGTCACATTGGTGAACAGTTTTGATTAGTGACTCCTTAGTGGTTATTTTCCGTGTGGTTGATGAGCTTGCTTCATTTCTTTCTTTAGGCACGTCCATTGTTCAACGATCGCAGGAAGTTCTCCAAGCTGGCTGATCCAAGGCTACAAGGGCGATACCCAATGAGGGGGCTCTACCAAGCTCTAGCCGTGGCATCTATGTGCATTCAAGAACAGGCTGCAGCTCGTCCTTTAATTGGTGATGTTGTCACTGCCTTGTCCTACCTGGCTAACCAGGCGTACGAACCGAATGCAAATGGTGGTAGTGTTGGTCAGAAGGGTTCGAGGGACGAGCGAGGTGGGCTGCTGTCGAGGGCCGAAGATGGAGGTGGTGGGTCTGGACGAAGGTGGGACCTGGATGGGTTTGATAAGGACGATTCACCTAGAGACCCAGCTGCAAAGGTCGCAACGAATCGGGATTTGGAGAGAGAAAGAGCTGTTGCCGAGGCGAAGATGTGGGGGGAGAATTGGAGAGAAAAGAGGCGGCAGAGCGCCCAGGGGAGCTCCGATGGAGATGGAAACAACGGCTGATGCTGACGACGAGGTTGAACCTGCTTATACCAATCCAGTTCCCTGTTGTGTTAGTTCTTTTGTTTTGGTTTCTTTTGTCTTTGGTTTTGGGTTATGGAGACTGTGAAGGCTAACTGCAGGGGGGAAAGAGAGGAGAGAGCTGGGAATGGGAAGAGGAGAGGGAAAGAAATACAGAAAGACGAGTACTTTGTAACATTTTTAACATAAACAAGAACTGGGTTCATTGCTGTACTACCTTCTTTCTATTCTGCCGAGCTGTTTTTTTTTTTTTTTTTTTTTTTTTGCTTCCCCATTTCTTCTGCTGATAAGCTTATTCTCCCGTCTTTAAGTTGCAACCGAAACAGAGGAAGACGAGAATTTCGCTACATGTATGTGTGTACCAATTCTTCATTGAAGACATGGAATTGCCCAATTCTCAAACCTCTTCTGCTGCAGAAATTTATCCAGCTTCGGTTTCTGAATGGTTAAGTAACAAGTTCTTGTTAGTTGTTAGTTGTTAGTTAAGTAGCTTACTGGAACTTGTCTTGTATGACAAGGAGGTAAGGTGAAGCAAAGAAGCTCTTTTCTCATTCATTATTGAAATCAAATTTGTTTTGGTATTTTGAGAACTCTTTCCCATGCTATGAGAACTCTTTCCAACCAACTTCAACTTGCTAGGAGCCTAAGACTATAATTTATAAGGAGGTATCTTTCACTTGTATTTTAAATAAATGATGATTTCATTGAATTGTGAAATCGTGAAGTTTGATTTAAAAGGTTGCAAACATCACATGTACAAGGAAAATTGGTGTAGCTTCATTTAAAAAGATTTAGTATACACAAAAGTCGGAATGATTATTGATACAAATGGTATAGATGGATGGAAAGTTCATGTAATATTAAAACTTATACATGTCAAATGTATCATAGTACTTTACATATCACAAAAATTACGATTACGTGACTTGAATGGATAGATAATTGAAACAAAGCCAACAAAACATAGGATTTCAAAGCAGATAGATAGGGTTGTGAATGATGATGAGAGGAAAAGCCAAATAATCAATGAAAATCGAAACAAAAAGTATCCATAGATCTGCAAAGATTATATATACTTCATTGTTTCCCCCCATATTACATTAAAAAAGAAAACAAAGTACCAAAATTACCAAAAAGAAGAAAAAGAAATAGAGGTACAAAGCGACGATCATTAGCTTCTTCTTTAGAATTAAAAAAAAAAAAAAAAAACAGGAAAACAGAAGCCAAGAAAATTAAGAGATAAAAAGAGTAAGTAATTTTCGCATTTATCTTAGAACAATTGATGATGGTGATGAAGCTGTTTTGTTGTCGACTTGCAAACTTCAAACCGGAGAGTCATCTTGATCCTTCCTCCCTCCACCGCCGTTATTGTTACCTTTTCCTCGAACTTCGTCGTCGCTGTCGTCGTCGTCGTTGCTGTGACCGTCGACCGGGTGAACCTCAGGCGTACCCAAGCCGCTCCTCCGGTGAATGCTCTTCATCTTCACCGGCAACTTGTCCTTCTGCTGCTCTAGCTCAAACTGCTTTTCTTTCTCCCTCTTCTCGTCGGCGATGTGGGCGTTTCTGTAAACCGCGTACAGCGTCATCTGGGCCAGCCCAAACACGAAGCCCAAAACGTTCGGGCACTGCAAAACAATTAAAAAGCCCAGATCATGTCAGAAGCCCGGCCCATATTTCATATCTGTGACTGTAATGATCAATTATTGATTTGAGTTGACGGAAATTGGTGAAATCAAAGTGTGAAGAAGCTAGGTTCTTACAGCGACACGAAGATCGTGGATGAATACACCGTACCCAAACCACACAACCGCGCTCAACGTCAGGAAGAAGGAAAGGGAGAATGGCATGAACTCCACACTTCGCGTCTTGATCACCGTTGCCTGTACACAAAAAGAGGAGAGGAGAATAAGGAAAAACGTTACACCACGAGTTTAATTTGTTACGAGAAATACTAGTGTCTACGAATCTAAGGTTCGTTTTGTTTTGAAGGATGGTAGTTACCATGACACTCAAAGGTGCGGCGAAGACGCTGACGGCAAAACCGACGCAAATCCAACCGAGAACGTTCACCTTGTAGTCTTCCTTCACCACGAATTGTATAACCAGAAGCACCGTCGAGAACAACACCACGTTTAATCCGAGAAATAACATTATAGTCGGCACCTGATGAGATGAGATGAGATCGTAATAATAATTAGTAAAACCACCCGGGTCCATGTACGTCATCATTTTTGTTTTCTTTTTTTTTTACGTAGGTACAATCGTAAACCGAACATTTGTCCCAAAATAATTAAGTTTGTGTGAAAATTTTGATTGGAATTCAGAATGTGTTGGATGGATGTTTTGTGATTTAACGCGTACCCGAGTTTTCTTGGGTGCGTAGGCGATGAAGAGGGCGGTGTAGATGGTCTCGATGACGCAGCCGAAGGCATTGATGGTCATGAGGAGGAGAGCGTCTTGCTTCTTGAGGAGGGCGTAGTAGAGCCAGAGCATGGAGCTGAAGAGTGCCGTCAGATAGGGCAGCGATTTGTAGCCCTCGCTCGTCTTCTTCTTGTGTATCTGCCAGAACGTCGGCCTGTACATTACATGTCCCAAACAAGGCCAATTGTTTATTAGCTAGTTACTCCACCAACCCAACTGGTCCAAAGAAATTGACATCAAACAAAATACGGCATCTTTTTTTTTTTTTTTTTGGGAGGGGTGATGAGGTGGGCTGGATGATTTGATACTTACACAGGAGCCAGGAAGACCATAAATGATATGACATTACCTGCAAATCATAACCATGGATGAAACAACGAGATACATGATCAGTAATGATGGTTAAGGTAAAGTAATCATGATGATTAACCATTGGTAGCTAACTATCATGCAAAACTGAAGCAAGAGATTAGCTAGGGTGATGAATGAAGTATGGGTTTGTAATGATGGATGGTGATGATTATTCAGATCATACAGAAGTTGTTATGATAGTTGAGTTCATCAAGTTTACATGATTACCCAGAAATAATAATTCAGAATAAAAACAAAAGGATGGCGTTTATATGAGAGACGTGCATATCTGAGCTAGCTTCCCTCCCAAAATACTAAAGGAGACAACTTGGCTTTCTGGTTATCATCATGAATCTACATAAATGGATGGTTAAGATTTTTTTTGTACCGAGGAAGAAATAATGGGGGCTAGGCTAGCTAGCTCTACGTACGTACTGAGAAGAGAAGAAGAGATGGAGATGGAGATGGAGATGGAGAGAGTACCTAGAATGCCAAAGACGAAGGCTCCTGTATGTTGCATGGTGTTTGCTCCTTTGTGTATATCGGATAGTGAAAGTAGCTCTGCTGCCGGTCGGTCTTTCCCGCTGTCTGAGACTCCGGCGGCCGGCGGCAGCAAGAGAAACAGAAGAGGTAAGATGGACGGGGCAGAGAGGGAGCTCTTAATCGCTTTGGGAGAAGAAGGAAATGAAATGAAATGAAATGAAATGAATGAGGATGAAAGGGAAGCGGGAAGGGTATATATAGGACCTGGCCGCCACGGTAAAAAAGTAAAATTACTGTGGTGATGGTAAAAACTAAAAAGAATTGATTGTTGGGTTGGGATGGGGGAAGTGGGAGTGTGGGTGTTGGGTTGCATGACAATGGAAGGGATTATAATTAAGTAGGTGGCGTGTGACAAATCCGTGGACAAATTGGAATTTATCAATTATTATTTTCAAAAAGGAAACAGTCACAATCACAACACTACCATTCAAATATGCTCGCTTGCCTTCACTGCTCTTTCCTCACCGTCACAGCCGCACCTTTGGCCGCCTTTTCCCCCCTTTTCTTTTTTACAGCTCCAGGAAATTGATAACCTGCAGGGTTAAATTAATTAAATGGGATGACAAACAACCAAATTTAGTTTGTGTTTGCATTTGTTGACAACGATATTACTCACTATGGTAATCATCTGAGTTTGAAAAATGGGTTCAACCACCATTTAGGTTGATATAAAAGGTTACAATTTCTTAGCCGTCGAATTTTTTTAGAGAGGCATTCGATTGTTAATCACTCATTTTTTTCTCATAGATATACTATCTCTATAGTATGATGTACTTGTAGTGAAACAAATAAGGCATTTATGTTATTTTGTTAAACATGAATGTATTAAAATTAATGAGGAATAAATTATGTATTTTACCATATCGGTTTATCATGTTTGTGAATTAGTTCATGATGACGGTTTTTACGTATTACAACCGTTTGAATCATCATTATATATCATTTAATATCCGCCAAGTGATTAACTACATATACAATGTCACATTAACTGTTTTACCCCCTCTTTCACTTCACACGATCGATCACGTTGTTCACGCCCCGATTCCTATTTTGTCTATTCTATTTTTCTTTTCCCCACAATTCCTCCTATCCTTACAATTCTCTAGTTATTTTCTCATCTTGTTATTTTCTTCAAACTCTTTAATCAAAGCTGAACGTAAATCGGTCAATCTCCTGGTCAATTTCAACACCAAATTCATGATCACTTGAGAAGTAAGCAAATTAAAAGAGATGTTGATAATGAATTGAGTAATAGAAGTGTGGTAATATCGTGATCTCCCTCTCCTCTATGTGCGTCTTTTCTCCTCATTATCATCACCGTCGTCAGGTAGCCGTTCTTTTCAGGGCATTTCTTTTTCTGTTACAACTGGAAATTGGAAGCGGTAGACTTGCTAGCTAGCTAGTGTGGAATGAAAGAAAGGAAGCAAGTTTGTTGCGTTGTGTTGCGCTGTGCTGTAAATCATTTCATTTCTGTACGTTACTATTCTCCTCCAAAGGCCAAAGTGGCAAAACTCCACATTTCCTTTCCTTCTCTATTACTGTTTTGTTTTGCCTTCTCCTCCACACACTCTCGCTCACGTGACTGATCCCTCCACCCTCAACTACTCCCTTTCCAAATCCTCCCCTCCTCTTCTTCCTCCTCCTTTTTTCACCTCCAAAACTGAAAACTAATCATTCATAATAATAAATAAATAAAACTGAAAACTAATCATTACTTATTTAGTATTAAATGGCTTAATTATACTACTATATTTAAAAAATATTCTATAAAATCAAGACCCTAATTGTATGTGTAGGGTGAAATTTCCAAAACTATATGTGAAATTACACACCAAAATTATTTTGTAGTGGTAGTAGTATCCGAAAAATATAATCAAACTAGTTACGGTGACATCATAATTTGATTTGCTTATGCAAACAACTATAAAATCTTAACGACGGAGTTCAGAAGAAGCTGTTATTACATCGTTCAACACGGTATTTTTAGCTTTTAAAGTGGTAGTATAGACGTACAGGAAAGCTAGCTAGAAATTCCCCCATTTAATTAAATCATTTATTATGAGTTGCTGAAATTTTGAGGGTGGGAGGGAGCTCTACTGTTGCTCTCTGGCGCAGCCATTTGTGGGATGTCACGATATACCGTGTCGTCGTGGCAACATCGCCCTTGTTTCTTGGAGAAAAGAAAATATAAAAGCCTCTTTTTCTTTCTACTTTTTTTTTCGTCCATACACCTAAGAGCAAAACGACAACACATATTACAGTTTACCTTACGTAATACCGTCGTACTGCATAAAATTAATCGCATTTCCGTTTTGACAGTTTTACGTAGGCATGCAGGTAACTCATCCATATTTTATAGATGGATTTATATTATGCCAAGTAAGATTGTACGACGGCTTAGCTAGCTGTAACCCAATCTCCCCAAAATTTATTTTAAATAAATAAATTCATTCCTTGACTGTGATTTAAATAATATTATCAGCCGGGTGATAAACATTTTCATTCGACGGCCGGTACCATTATTATTCTTCGTTTTAATGGGTTTCCATTCGATGTTCTCTAGGACAGGATGCTATATTAGAAAAGCTCTTCGTAATTAATTAAATGAATTATATTCTTCGTTTTCTTGGTCTTGTGGAAAAAACGGCTTTCGAATTTGCCAACATTGAACCATGTTGCTGTTTTGTTTTGGGTGTCTTGGGGCCGGGTTTTCTCTAATTAGCATCAACAACATCGTGCATAAAAAGGGGCATATATGTTTCTGAATTTATGACACTGACGATAGGGTGGATCAACAGAGTTTGATGAAAATTTCCTTTTAAATTAATTAATTCTCGTGTAAATATGGCAGTAAATAAAACTACTTTTACTTTATCAAACAAAAATTGTTTGTAATACAAGCATCATGTCATGATCAACCCAACAAAATCGTAGGTGTGTAAGTCGATGACCTAAAATGATTCCACTCGTAATGACACTGTGTTTTGATTTTGTTTGCGAAGTACGCGTTCGATGGGGGGAAAAATTCCGAATTAATTGATGCTTTTGTGTAAACATGATATTGACAAAAACTCGTTTTACTTTATCGAAAGATCTTGAATAAAACATCCGTTATATATTGGTAATCAAAGTGAAACTCTCAATGGGTTTGGTTCAACTTCTCTAATAGCGAGAAATGACATTTTCATAATGGCCTCGCTAGCATGAATAGTATAATGGCGTTGCGGATGTCAATGATCTAATATGACTCAACTTATGATGACTCATATCCACCTTTAACTTGATTTAGGTACCAAATTGACATTATCAAGCACTAGACCCTAAATGACACGAAGTACTATGAGTCTGTCACTTATGGCGCTAGATGTCTTGATTGTTGCACGCGAAACATAATAAATCTAGGTGTTCTTAGGTATGTAGTTTAAGAGGAGAAGCTATATATAACTCTCTAACAGACCAGATTGATGGACGCAACAGCTCTCTTTATGATTGAACCCTCATTCGTCTCCTTCCAGTTGCTTAACCTAGCAGCTGCTTCTATTACATTCTTATGGTATCAGAGCAGCGTTGATATGCTTTTTCGCTTCACAAATGGCAACACCACTTGGGACTCCTGGATCTGGTTCTATTCATTTCGGCACCATCAACTCGAGCAACAGTAGTGGTGGCCAAGTTCACCACACTGGACAACAATAGCAAACTGGCGAAACCAACCTCTGGGTCTTCAGTTTGGTAATCCCTATTACATTAACCCAGGCGCGAATCTAGGTCAGTCCATCGTTACTGAAATTTCGGATGGATCAAACTACCAAACTTGGCAACAAGCCATACGAATGGCTCTCAAGACTAAACATAAACTGGGTTTTATTGATGGGTCTCTTACTATGTTTGCTCGTACACATAGAGATTTTCTTCTCCGGGATGCTTCCAATACTATGGTCTTGTGTTGGATACTAAATTCTATTCATAAAGATACGCGAAGTGTTTTGCAACATGAAAATGCTAAGACTGTGTGGGATGAATTGAAGAAGAGATTTGGTACTTCGAATGCTCTACGCTTAGCAAATTTACATAAGGATATTGGACGATGCAAGCAAGATAATCAGAGTATAACTCAATACTACATAGCCTTTCAGGGATTAAGGGAAGATAACCTACTCTTCAACCCAAGTGTTGAATGTGACTATGTTGTTGTGAGTACTAGACCTTAAGCTGCTGTTACAGCTTTTCAGGAGAAGCGGGAAACAAAATATCTCATAAAATTTCTCCGTGGTTTAAGGCGAGAATATGATGTGATCCAGATCAATTTCTCATGATGAAACCTTTGCCTACTGTTGACTCAGCACTAGATGACTTACTCCAGCATGAATAGAAGTTGAAAGGAGATAAGGGAGGCATCACTAGAGGCATACAATCTGTGGCACTAGCTACCAATGCTGATACATCACGAAGACCAAGTTATAATGAAGGAGAGAAGAACAATAAGAACTCTACTGAGGTGGACAGGGGAGGAAAATTTTGCAGATACTGTAAGAAGGATGGTCACCTCAAAGAAGAATGCTATAGGTTGAAGAACAAAGTAGCAAGAATGTATGGTGGAGGACCTATAGCTGGATCAGACTCACAACATGACTGGAATTCTGATTCTCATAGTGGTGATTCAAACTCCTCTACACACACTCACAACATTGAGAGCAAAAGTTCTTCACCTGGATCTATTAGCTTCACAAGTGATGAGCTTAACAAGCTTAAGTTTCTGCTTCAACAACCAGACAACACGAGTCCTTCTCCAGCACTCTCTCCTTCCATCAAATATGCCGCCTATTATGTCTCTCAACAACAACCTCCATTTCCAAACTATGCTGGTAAATATGTACTATGCTCTTACCTGCAACATGGTTTGATGGCATTAGCTCATATCTGGATATTAGATACTGGAGGTTTAGACCATATTGCTTGTTCCCTATCTTCCTTTTTGGATGCTAAAACCAGTTACCAATAAGTTTGTTCACTTGCCTAATGGGAATAGGATTCAAGTGAGTCATATAGGGAGAGTCAGAACCCCAAATGGTTTATTCCTACATAATATCTTGCTTGTCCCTAGTTTCACTTTTAATTTGATCTCAGTAAGAAAGCTTACACATGACCTTCCCCTTTCTTTGCCATTTGAATCTGACTCTTGTCATATTCAGGACCTGACAACCAAGACACAGATTGGTTTAGCAAGACAAATTAAAAGCCTCTATCATCTGATTTCCTTGCCAAACTCACCTTATGCCACTCCACCTCACCAAGTAGCAGCCACCTACAACT